GAGCGAGTAGCACATGGGGATCTTGTGGTGAAGCACATTCCTACACAGTTGCAATTAGCTGATATCTTCACCAAGAATTTATCTAGTCAGCGTTTTGAATTTTTACGCTCCAATTTGCACGTGATTTCCCCTGCACAAATTGAGGGGGTGTAATAATGTAATATTTAGGGATTACTTTGTAATTCTTCATAACTCTGTTTTATTATAAATACAAGGCTAAGGCACCCAATAGGGTAAACTATTCTTCCCCAAAATTATATTTTGTATAGTACCTTTCAATAAAACCAAAAAACTTCAAATTTACCCATACAGATAGCTCAGTTGGTTGAGTGATGGAAAATATACCAAATTTCAGCTAAAAATTTACCTGTACGGATAGCTCAGATGGATAAAAAAGGCTAAAGGATCAAATAAGCCCTTGAACTGACCTAAAGTGTTCAATTAGCCCCTTATATAGTAGGTTCTGCCAGCCGTCGCCAATTGGGGCGGTTCCCGGTGGAATTTTTTGATGAATTTTTTTGAGCATCTTCTTCATTAAGTATAGTTTACTCATACCAAATTTCAGCTACAAATTCAACCGGGAAGGCAGTCAAATGATTTTTTGAAGATAACTACGAAGTTAAACAGCGCAGTACATTTCGAAAAATCATTTGACTGCCTTCCCGGTTGAATTTTTAGCTGAAATTTGGTATGAGTAAACTAGACTTAATGAAGAAGAAGCTCAAAAAATTTCATCAAAAATTCCACCGGGAACCGCCCCAATTAGCGACGGCCGGGAAGAACGTCCTATATAAGGGGCTAATTGAACACTTTAAGTCAGTTCAAGGGCCTATTTGACCTTTTAGCCTAAAAAAAACTTCTAATTTGGTGGAGCATTTTTAAAGTAGTAGAAACTAAGCATTCAAGTGGCGAATTGGAAAAGCGAAACGAAGCGTAGAAACGGAGCGAGAGTTGTGCTCTCCAAACCTTCGGTCTTCCTAGGGTATTCCGCCGCTAGGTTTTGTAATTTCCGATCTTGGCTTCGGCTGGTGATCGATAGTAGTTTAGAGGCGACAAATTTGGACGAGAGTATCTCTCTTGGTTGGGACTGAGGCGAAGATCGCCGTTTGCGTGCGATACGAGGGCAGGACGACGCGGGGAGTGTAGGTTGTCACATGGAGGATTTTGTTGACTCTTACAGGAAGTTATCTATGCGGGATCAAGAGAGCGAGTTGAATTTTGATGAGGAGGCAGAGGAGGAAGCCGGCGAAGGGCAGGAGCCGAGGCGCTTTCCGGCAGTGGGGGTAGTTATCACTGATCGAAAAATCAAACTTTCAGGCTTTCAAGAGCTGATGGCCTCAATCTGGAGACCAGTGAAAGGTATGACTATCAAGGAGATCGACGAATGCAGGTATCTGTTAATCATGTTTTGGAAATGAATCGGGTTATTGAGGAAGGCCCTTGGCTTTTTGAACGAGAGTTGATTTTGTTAAAAGATGTTCAGCCTGATGATATACCAGAATCAATGAATTTGTTTGAGGCAAGAAGGACATTATTGAACAGAAGATCCAAGAATTATGTGATAAGGGATCCACCCAATCCAGTGCTTCTCCATACGCATCACCAGTTGTTTTGGTGGGAAGGAAGGATGTGGACTGGAGACTGTGCATTGACTACAGAGCTTTGAACAAACAAACAGTGAAAGACAAATTCCCTATTCAAGTAGTGGAGGAATTGATTGATGAATTGGCAGGAGCAAGGATCTTCTCCAAGATTGATTTGAAGGCTGGCTACCACCAAATTAGAGTACATGAAGGGGATGTTTATAAAACAGCAATTAAAACTCATTTTGGGCACTTTGAATTTCTGGTAATGCCATTTGGGGCTTACAAACGCTCTTGCTACCTTCCAAGGGTTTATGAATCACATCTTTAAGCAGTTTTTAAGAAGATTTGTTCTTATTTTTTTTTATGATATACTGATATACAGTATGGACTGGCCACAACATAAAACACACTTTCAGCAAGTATTTGGAATATTGAAACAACATCAACTATGTGCTAAGAAGAGTAAATGTGCTTTTGGCATGAGTAAAGTGGAGTATTTAGGTCATTTCATATCTGGGCAAGGGGTTGAAACAGACCATAGAAAGATTGAAGCAATACAGAAATGGCTTATACCAAGTTCTCTGAAGCAAGTAAGGAGCTTCTTGGGCATGACAGGATATTATAGGAGGTTCATTAAAGGATATGCCATGATAGCAAGACCTTTAACTGAACTTTTGAAGAAATGAGCTTTTCAATGGACTTCTGAAGCCACACTGGCTCTCCAGAAGCTGAAAGATGCTCTGTCAACTGCACCAGTTCTAGCATTACCCAATTTTGACAAACAATTTGTGGTTGAGACTGATGCATCAATGAGGGAATAGGAGCACTGCTGATGCAAGAGGGCCATCCATTAACATATATCAGTAGAGCATTGGGGGCAAAATGGCAAAGACTTTCAGTCTATAAGAAGGAGTTGCTAGCACTAGTCTTTGATGTTCAAAAATGGGAGCAGTATTTGTATGGACAGACCTTCATAATTAAGACAGATCAGAAGAGTCTGAAGTGGCTTTTAGAGCATAAAATCTCTACACCATTTCAGCAGTTTTGGATGTCCAAGTTAATGAGATTTTGGTATGAAATTCAATACAAAAGTGGAGTGGAAAACAAGGTAGCTGATGCCCTTACTAGGGTAGGAGGAGCCGAATTGTTATGTCTAGCAGTATCAGAAGCGGATTCTAATTTACTTTCCTTAATCCAGAAAAGTTATGATAAGAATGATAAAATGGCAAAGCTATTGCTGGATATCTCTCAAGGGACCATACCAGTAGGTGATTCGAAATACCAGTTGAGAGATGGTATTCTTAGAAGAAAAAATAAGATTCTAGTAGGGAAAGATGAAGAGGTGAGGGCTAAGATTCTACAGCGGGCTCATAATTCTCCTTCTGGGGGACATTCAGGTAGAGATGCAACTATACAGAGGATCCGCCATCTGTTTTCTTGGAAGGGTTTGAACAGAGAGGTGAATGCTTATATTAGAGCTTGTGGAATTTGTCAAGCTTGTAAGTATGACAATGCAGCCTACCCAGGGAAATTACAGCCACTGCCCATACCAGTAGGGGTATGGTTAGACATGTCCATGGATTTTGTGGAAGGATTACCTAATTCAATGAGTAAAGATGTTATCTTTGTAGTGGTGGACAGACTGAGCAAGTATGCCCATTTTATGACACTTAAGCATCCCTTCACAGTAGTGGAAGTAGCTTAAGTTTACCTTGACAATGTCTTCAAATTGCATGGTTGGCCTAAAACGATTGTTAGTGACAGAGGTGCTGTGTTTTTAAGCCAATTCTGATCAACTTTGTTTTCTGTGCAGGGAGTGGATTTGCTATTTTCTACCTCATTCCATCCTCAAACTGATGGACAGACTGAGGTGGTTAATAGATGCTTGGAGAACTACCTGCGTTGCATGTGCAGCGAGAATCCCAATTAAGGACTGGTGCAAGTGGATGCCCGTGGCAGAATGGTGGTATAATACCTCTTTTCACTCAGCCATTCAGATGACACCTTATGAAGCTGTGTACAATCAGAAACCTCCTTTGCAACTGCCATACTTACCTGGAGAAACTAAGGTGGAGGCAGTGGATAGGTCACTGCAACAGAGGGAGAGCATGATTAAAACCTTGAGAGACCATTTGTTGAAAGCCCAAAATAGAATGAAGGTTCAGGCTGATAGGAAGAGATCTGAGAGAGCCTTTGAGGTTGGGGATTGGGCTTGTTTGAAATTGCAGGCATACAGACAGAATTCAGTGGAATATAGGTCCAATGAGAAGCTAGCTCCCAAGTTCTATGGACCATTTCAGATTTGTCAGAAGGTTGGAAAGGTGGCCTACAAGCTAATACTACCTCCTGAGGCTAGAATACATCACACCTTTCATGTATCCCAGCTTAAGGAGTTTAGATGAGAGCTGCCTGCTAAACCACATATCCTTATATGGTTACAAGGAAAGGATGGTAGTAGCAAGGTGATGCCTATAGCAGTTTTGGAGAGGCAATTGCTTAAGCATAGGAATGCTACAAGAGTAAAGTTGTTGATCCAGTGGGAAGGGCAAAATCCTGAAGATGCTACATGGGAATGGGCTGATTTCATCAAGGAAGCCTATCCAGAGTTCTATCACTCTTTGACTTGAGGGCAAGTCAGTTGTTAAAGGGGGGAGTATTGTTATAGGCAAATTATATTTGATGTTTGTTGGGCTGAATTGTAATTGGTATTGTGGGCTAGCTGACAGCTGAGTTGGTTAGTTGGGTTGGGCTAGCTGGTAGTTGAGTCTGTAATTACTATAAATACTAATTGGAGTGTATAGTCGAAGTTTATGTTGAATGAATAATACACTTCCATTTCTCTTCTAATCTCATCACTTGGGGTAGTTACGTTCTCGTTATTCCTTCTCTTCATAGCGTGAATAACCTGAAGCGTAACATAGCGAGTTATACTGCTTTTTTTTACAGGTGGTTAGCTCTCAGTCTCGGCCAGATGGTTATTTGTGGCTTTTTTATACTCTTGTACCCTTGCCGAATGATGCTTTTATTAATGGTAAAATGGAAACTAATAATCCAACCTTTTAGCGGTCTTCTTTTAATAATCCCACCTTTTGATTATTCATGAATAATCCAACCTTTGCACCACATCTTCATTCACTGGTCCTTGCCCGGTTGATGACCTGCTATTCCAAGCTATTTTCTTATCTTTGCAAATCATTATACCATAAATTTCATCTTTCACAAAGATAATATTTTGCAAAGATAAGAAAATAGCTTGGAATAACAGGTCATCAACCGATCAGGGACCAGTGAATGAAGATGAGGTGCAAAAGTTGGATTATTCATGAATAACCAAAAAGTTGGATTATTGTAAGAAAACCACTAAAATGTTAGATTATTAGTTTCCATTTTCCCTTTATTAATTAAGCTTTCTTTCGGCAAAAAAAAGTGGCGAATTGGATCTCTGATTGTCTCCCGGAACAGGCCCAAATCTGCCGTCGTTCTCTACACTGCCACTCGGCTAAACCTGGCACAGAAGATACATTCTGAGAATCCACAGAGAGCAACTATGAGATATTTTTATACTATATTGATTTCTTCCCTTTTTGTGCTATGCTGTATGCTTACTAGTAAATCTGAGGTCATTACGCTCACGGCCGAGACATTCAATGATAAGGTAAGATAAACAGAGCTATACTCTTTTTATCAATGCTTCTGATCGTACTGTGATCAGTCAAAGACCGAATCTTTGGCTTCGTAAGACAAGTTGATTATGCTAAAATTGAGATATCTTTCATATTTAGCCCAAGCTATCCAAGTTTGAAAATTTAGTTCGTTGGCCTGGATTTGCAATTTGGTCTTTTATTTCACATGCTAGATTTACATCCAGCTGAGAAGAGAAAAAGTTGAGTTTCCTAACTCCTGAACACATAATCTCTATGTAGTCAACTAGTATAATTTACCAAATTGAGATAAATGGATTTTTGTGTGTTCACCTATTATGCTGCACACTGTGGTGCCAAGGTAGAGTTTGTTTAGGGCCAGTTCGAAAGGAATCTTTTGCATCGTTGAAGGAGAATGCTTTGGAGGGCTTAGTCTATTTCTTGATTAACATATTGCTTCTGGAAATACATAGTATAATGAAGGTGACTAAAATGCTAAATGATCACTTATTATGTTATTCTTTTAATTATATTGTAAAATCTCAAATTTTTATTAAGAAATAGAGTATAGAACTCCTCCTCCAATATATTCCTTCCAAACCTTACAAAAACCCTCCGTTCAAACTGACCCTTTGACAGGGCTTATCTAATTGACATGAGGGTTTCAGCCGTTAGCCACCCCCAGTTTTTATTATATACAGAGTATATCGTATATATTCCGTTTCTGTCTCACAAAGAGGTTCCAACTTTCCTTTTTTGTCTATTCCGAAATGAGGTTCATCTTTTTTAAAGAAAGGATTGTTGTGACTCATATTTTTCTCTATTTGGTATAAATCTCAACCTCACAAATTCAGTGTTCTTAATAAGTGTGCCAAGTCAAAGAGAGAAGTTTTTTGGGATGAACGGGGTATAACACAAAAATCAGTTCTTCTTTCGTGCCATCTCCAAGTTCTGATGTACTGTGTGTGTAAACTCTCATTTAGTTTGTCATCGTTTTGTGCATTTTTCAAGGCACTGGCGTATCTAGGGACCGACTCAGGCTTTGCTCTACCCATGTTCACTAAATAAAATATTAGTATAAAAATTTTAATGAGAAGAACTTGTATGAATGAATTATCTCCATCGTATCACAAATTAGCAGAGGCATATAACTGATGATTTATTTATTCACATTACTTCCGTGCACAATCAAACTTTAGCGGTGACAACTCTAATCAATGTGCCATAGCGCTGCCAACTCTGAAATGGTAGCATTGCTGCATGTGCTATCAGAGCATTTGATTTTATCTTTTAAAATGACATCTTATAAAAAATTGAAGTTGCAGACACACGACTCAAGATCAAAATCGAGAGTGCAGTGATATGCAATTTCCTTGCAGTGAATTCTACTTTATGGCCATTATTAATGTGTTTGTTTCCTTACAATGATTTGTGGTGGTTGTTTCCCTACTGTCATTATTTTATTATCCTGCTTATTGTGGGCTTGATCCCAGACTGATATGTTTTAAATCATTATCATTTTTAGATAAGTGAGAAGCACACTGCTTGGTTTGTGAAATTCTGTGTTCCTTGGTGTAAGCATTGGTAAGAATTTCAGTCTCTTACTGCTTTGTTTCATATCTGCCCTTAACAGTAACTATCCCGGCTTATCATTATTCTTTTACTAAATGATTTATGATATACAAAGAGATTTAGAACTCCTTGGAACTTGATGCATGTGATTGTGAAGAGTCCTTAGGCTTCTCATTAAAATAAGTTCCTTACAGGCTTACACTACAGAAATTATTAAATATCACCCAAGCAATAATCTAACTGCAGCGGGATTCCTCCTTTTTCTTTGATGGTTTGACAATGTAATGCTCCATTTTTTCCTTTACAGGCATCTTTATACATCTGTAAAAAGGTTTAGTGTAAGCCTTATCTTGTTTTTTCTTTTCTTTTTTAAAAGTAAAAACTTGGGAAAATTGTGGGAAGATTTAGGAAAGGCAATAGAAGGAGAGGACTCGATAGAGATTGGAGAGGTTGATTGTGGCACAACTAAATCGATTTGTCAAAAGGTTGATATCCATTCTTATCCAACATTCAAGCTCTTTTACAATGGAGAAGAGGCTGCTAAATATCAAGGTCACATTTTTTCTTTTGATCTCATCAACATTTCCATATTATGTCTGCTTTCTGTGGTTTTTATTCTTCAAATTCCTAGCTGGTTGTTAATGAGAAAATGACTTAATACTTTCCAAGTAAGTATAATTCCAGTTTGCGTAATGCAATACTTCCTACGTTACCCTACAGTTTGTCATGTTTGACTGGCACGCAGAATAAGGAAGTTAAAATTGGGTGGTTAAAACGTGTGTAGAGGAGTAAGAAATAGTATAAGCCACAAATTTATTTTCGAAAGGGAAATTGGCAAACCTTTTTGGGACTGCCTAATAAGGAAAATTGGCAAAAGAAATGGACAGAGGGAGTAATAGTTACTCCTTACTCCATCTATTCCATGGTGTATGTTACATTTGGGTTTGTCGCACTTTTTAAGAAAGTGAAGGAGATTTAGTCATTTTACCATTGTAACCTTTTACTGGAGAAAAAAAGAAATTCAGGACCCACCAAAGTATAAAAGGTAAAATGTTAGGTAAAATGATACATTGGGGAAGCAAAAAGTTAATGTATTCAAAATTTGTAAAGTGAAAATAATGATGTGACGGAATTAAACGTATAGTGCTTCTAACTAAACAAGACAAAGGGATTTTTTGTTCGGGACTATAAAAGATGGGAGTTTAGTCATCTATAGGCATGCTGCATGCAAATCAGGAAGAATCTGTGGTATGGGGTGTCTTGATGTGGCTTGTAAGGGGATGCGGATGTTTGCTAGCTTAAAGAGAGAAAGGAACAGTAGATTGGTTTTTATTGAGTTCCACATCCTTTTTTGATAATTTTCTCGTTCCTTGGCAAAACCCCTTATGTAATGGGAGAATGCAAATCTAATACTCTAATATGAAACTACAAAAGACCCCTTTTCCTCCCTATTCTTTACTTTTCTCCCCTCCACCATCATGAAAGCTTGGTATCCCTTTATTTTAAGTTTAAAAATTAAGTTATTGTAAAATTTGTGTGTCATATCCTTTGAAAATAGGTTTTATTTAAGCCACTGAACAATGATCAAAATGCAATAGTTAAAGTCTAACGGTTCATTGGTTTATAGTTACTGCTTGTCAACTTTAATCATTTAATCTCTCTTGAATCATTTCACCTACGTGATGAGGGCCTTACTTTAGTTGTTAATCTACCAAACATATTATGCACAGAATTATATTATCTCCGTCACATTGGACATAGCCAATTTTGAATTAGGTGAGAAATAAGAAAAGGAAAAAATGTGTGGTTGAGCTTTGTGCAAGGGAGAGAGAAATAAGCAGAACCACAAATTAGTTATTACTTTAATAAGAAAGTGACAAAGTTTTTGGGTCAATTAAAAAAAAGGAATGTTGGCGAAGTTCAATGGGACGGAAGATATATATTGTTTACTCATATTTAATGTATATATAACATACTTTGCTTTAAGCTTTTATATATCTTCTTCTTTCCTCCTCCTCTAATACTAGCTTCGAACTCTTGACGTGGTGGTTTGGAGTATCTTATCAAACCATTCATGGATTAGATGGTACACTAACTAAAAATAATATACACATAATGGGCACTCTATGGAGTATGGACCAAGTATTAGATGGTACACTAACATATGAGGTCTGAAGAGTAGGTACATCCGTACAGGCGTACATGAGTGAGCAATATCTAATAATCTTTGAGATCTCAGTTGAACTCTTGATGCAGCCGTACGGATCACATATCTTGAAAGACATAAAATTGTACCAAGAGTAAATGCTTGTCAAAGACGACTTTACATACATTTTATTGTGACGAATATAGAACTCATACTCCCTCGCTTTGTTTTCTTGTAACAGGGCCAAGGGATGTGGAGTCCCTGAAATTGTTTGCATTAGAAGAAACAGAAAAGGCGGAAAGGAAGGCTGAAGGTGATGAAGATAAAGAGTTATAATTTGTTATTCAAGTAAGATTTACAGAGTTCTCATACTATTGTGTTTTGAAGAGTTTTGTCTGATTCAATGTCTGTTTGAATAATTTACAAGTTCTTTTGGTGTATGTGGTTTAACTGTTGAAGTTGTTTAGTTGGTATATTACTGATTCTTAACCCTATAAAATTGTCTACATGGAGCAGATTTGCATCATTTGCTGGAAACGCGTAGAGCCGTAGACACAAAAACATGGAATGTGAATTTTCCTGCCCGACATCAAGAGTGGTATTTAGATTGGACAATGGTTGTAATCTAGTTTTTCCTTTTCTTTTCCTGGCCCTTTATCCTGGATAGTGGATACCTATCATTACGCCTGCTCTTCTTGTGGACACAGTAGAAATCACGTTTTATCAAATTAAACATTTTTTTTCCATTTCCATTAGTATTCCCGTATCTCAAATCTCAATTAGTCCTAAATTTGAACATGGGAAGGTTTAGATCAACATGCAAATATGTTTAGCTATGTATGGTAATATGGTTGACAAAATACACTTGAATCTTGCTAGCCCAAGTGATTTACTTGCGAGCTTTCTTGTTGAATTAGGGCTGGACTTGGGCATGGACTCAGTCCCGAGACGGGCCAGTTCCTGTTCCGAACCGGCCGGTCTTTGGTAAATATTAGTATATCAAGGTTCGGGACTGGGTCACTGGGACCTCTATTTTTGGTCCGGTTCTGGACTTTTTATTATTATTTTTAATATACTTTTAAAACCCTCTATGGCTCTCTCTATCCCGTGACCCCATCTACACCTCTTTTAAACTTTTAAATGGACACTTAACCTTTATGAAATGTTTTCCAATGGCTTCATAGCAAAAAAAAAAAAAAAAAGGAATTGGTCCGGTCCCCGTCCCAACTGCTTCTGGCCGTTCTGGGACCATTCTTCCCACCGGGCACCGGTCTGGTCGCGTTTCAAAATCAGATGGTTCTGGTCTCAGATAGGGATGGACCGGTTTCGGGTCGACCGGCCCGTGGCCAGGGCCAACCAACCCGACACTGTTTGGAACCAGCCCGGCCTTGCAACCGGGCCTTGGACCGGGCCAGTTAGGCCCAAACCAGTTAGGCCCAAACCGGGTGTTACTAAGAGCGGGCCCGGGTCATGGAAAATAAAAACCGGCCGGGCCGGGCTGGGCCCGGTTCGGGCCTTTTTTTCAATTTTTTTTCCCGGGTTGGGCTGGGTGTTTTGGAGGGAGGGGGGTGGGTGGGTTGGGGGTCGGGGTTAATTAGAAAAGCAAAACAAAACAAAATTGAACCGGCCCGGCCCGGACCTGGTGGAATCTCCGGCCGGTTCCGGGCCTTCCCTGCAAAAAAACCGGTTTGGACCGGAGTCACCGGACCAGAGCCCGGCCTGGCCCGGCTCGGAACCGGTCCATCCATAGTCTTAGACATGTCCTAGGATCGAGATTAAGTCTAGCCCTAGTTGTACTTGTACTTGGATCCACTATCCAGGTTCAAGTGTTACTTAAAATCCTCTGCATGGAATTATTTGTGATTTGGGATTTTTTTACGGTCCGGTTCCATTGTACCAGATCGTAATCATTTTGGGCCTGCTCGTCCTAATCCAACTTCGGTTTGGGACTAGGAGTGAGATCCACCGCATGTTGATTTGAAGTGTCAATCGTGGCGCAAACTATGCTTTAGAAAGAGAAACAAAAGCTTCAAACGGGTAACATTTGACTTGGTTTTGTCATGCAAAAAAGATCGATACATGCAAAACCAAGAGTCCATTTCATACTCCTATTTTTGGCTATATCAGCTAATTTCCTTATCAATCACGCAAATTTTAATTTTACATGCTAAATTTGTAAAAATAAAAATAAGGAAATTGAAATTACATTTCTAACTGAATTGACTAAAATGGTAAAAAAAATTACAACTTTTCATATGTTTTTTCTTTATTTTATTCATAAAATATATTTTAAATATAATATTTCCACGATTCTATTGAGAGCAACATATTCAACAAGAGTCGAGCCTTTTGTTTTGTCCAAATGTAGAGGGTTGGGATTGCTAAATCTTTAGTTCTAGGTATCAAAGTTAACATGGTAAACTCTTTTCAAAACCCCAATTAGTTAGTCTTGGCATATACGGATAAGACAATACATTGCAAAATAAATACTTCGTAGAAGACAAGAAGCAATACTGAAATTTTCGCATTGACACCATCTCAATTCAAAACTTTAAGGTATAACGTATTCGACTGTTTAGATTCTCGCGCAATGGGGGGAGCACACTGGAAGGAGCCCAAAACACGAACTAGTATGACAATATTTAAATGACACAAAAAAAGATCAAGTAATTGGAATCTCATTGGCAGAATAACAGTTGTTGATCACTTCTTTTTCAGGATAGACTTAGTGACCTTAGCACCACTAGAATCCTTCTTCTCAACACTCTTAATGACTGTTGACTAATTAGTTTTGTTGATGACTAACCTTACTAGAACAAAGGGAAGAACTATACTGATTCTAACCATGAAGGGTGCCTAGTACGAGCTCGTTAAAGAACCATAGTTGAAACTACTCTATGCTCGTTATGATTCATTTATGTCTCATGCATGCATGATTTTATGTGACATTATTTTAATATGGCTTGCATGGAAATAAACTGTGGTAAAGGCAATTGAGCATCTCTCTAGGATCCTTAATTATGTATGGTAGGCAATTGATTTTTCAATCAATAAAGTGGCTGCATGGATGATTATACGAAAAGGGGGAAGTAATCAGGTGTCAATGACTGCTACTACCTATGCTACTTAAAGGCAATTGAGCATCTCTCTAGGATCCTTAATTATGTATGGTAGGCAATTGATTTTTCAATCAATAAAGTAGTTGCATGGATGATTGTTCAACTTTTACAGGATATTGGCTAAGGCACCTATGAGGTTTGTCATCAACAAAAAGGGGGAATTTGTTGACTAGTTAGTTTTGTTGATGACTAACCTTACTAGAACAAAGGGAAGAACTATCCTGATTCTAACCATGCAGGGTGCCTAGTACGAGCTCGTTAAAGAACCATAGTTGAAACTACTCTATGATTGTTATGATTCATTTATGTCTCGTGCATGCATGATTTTATGTGACACTATTTTAATATGGCTTGCATGGAAATACTACCTTTTATGAATGGAAGTAAACCGTGGTAAAGGCAATTTGAGCATCTCTCTAGGATCCTTAATTATGTATGGTAGGCAATTGATTTTTGAATCAATAAAGTGGTTGCATGGATGATTATACGAAAAGGTCCACTTGCCTTAAAATGATATTTTTAGCATATGATTTGATTTGCATCCACGGTTGAGTAATAGATATTTTAAAAGGTGTTGACTGCCTAGTAGGCCTGGGATCGGTTCGGTTCTTGTTAAAATTCGATGGAACCGTATAAAAATCGTAGGCGTTAAATTCGGTTCAGTTCTAGTTAAAAATGTAGTTGTTAAATTCGGTTCGGTTCTAGTTAAATTCGGTTCGGTTCGGTTCTTTTTTCGGTTCCTAACAAAAATTTACTATCCTCCTGAAATGAACACACTTCAGTTACATAAAAAAATTCAAATATTAAATCACGAAATTAAGACCATTACATTATAAATGCATGGTATCTCAATGTTCAAAAATCCAAAGACATATCAAGTACAACATTAAATTTAAACATAACAAAAATCTCGATTTAAAATAGGCATCAACTGTCAAGCAAAAAGGTTTAATAGCCCCAGAGTACACGTCCAATAGCAGGTAGTTCAACCCCAAAATAATATTCTTCTTCTAGTAATGCACAATAAGTAAAAACTACGTAGTAATAAACAACGTAATCAACAGAATGTTAATTCTTTTTTGTAGTGAACTCCAATAACAAATTCAATTACAAACAAAATATATATATAAAAATGGACTAAAGTATTAAAATGATAACTACTCGGATTGGCGTGGTCCACAATATATAAGGTATATTATGCAAGAATAATATTTTTGACAAGAACTTTTTGCCCGAAAGGCCGTCTGACCGCCTTCATTTGAGGTACTGACGTGCACTTTGTCGTGAGTGCACTCAAAATAATTTCAATACTAACACTTATACGTAGTATAGGTGAAGTAGAGTTCGTATCCACAGGGAAAGGAATAATTTATCTTTTTAACGAAAGGAGTAAACAAAGGGGGGTTTTGAGATTGAGTGATTTAATTAAATTTAAACACGAAGATGAACGAGTTATATGGGATTAAATTCAAAGATAAAAAGGACTTGGCATTGCTACTTTCCACTTGTTGATATATTTTAGTCGATCATTGTTATATCTATAACTTATCTCCTCTCGAATACTCAATCGAGGAGTATATCCAATTCATCGAGGAAAGTTATTAACAACGACCGTTCATTAATAACCCTTACTATTAGTCAAGTATAGAACAACGCCATATACCTACTTGATAGTAGCATTTAATCTCTTAACTCCTTGATGAAATCAATTGAGATTGATAACCTCAACACAACGGTTTCGGTTTAACCAACAAAATTAATTCCTCTTAAGTTTACTAACCACGACCGTGCATTAATAAACCGAAGTTACTTACTTGTGAAACCATCAACGATTAACCATTGGTTCGTTGATCGTTTCTAGTAATAATTAACATATGAAACAAAACTAGTTGATCCTTTAAGTAATGTTCAAAAATATTAATATGAAATATGAATAGGAATTAATTAATACTCAAGGAAGAATATTAAGGAAAATGAATCCTACTATAGTTAATATCAAGATGTTAACTAATTGTCATCTTAGTAATACTCCCCAATATTAACATAGAGGAAGGAATAGCTATTACTAAGACCAATGTCAAGATGTTAACTAATTGTCATCTTAGCAACACTCCCCAACATTGATATAGAAATAGTATTTAAGAGAAGCATTAATATTCAAGGAAAGAAGTTAAGAAAATAACTCACAACTTTAATAATCAACAAGCTTCAAGAGCAACACCAAGAAATGGAAGTTTAGCTCCTCATTTGGAGACTAAACATGCTAAAAGAAATATAGAGAAATGCTATTCTAAACTGAGCTTAAGAGTATAAAGGAATTGGTTCTAAAAGTGAAGGAAAGGAGGTGTATTTATAGGCTTTTTTGAGGTGCAGGTCGGGTACTCGATCGAGTATATACATATACTCGATCGAGTATGTGTAGAACTTCGAATTTGATCCATACTCGATCGATATTCGGGTATAATTCATAGCTATACCCGATCGAGTATGTCGGTGTACCCGATCGGGTATAGACACTCGATCGTGGAAAAATCTTCTCCTGCATGTTCCTTTGTTTTCGGATCCGATCCGATTTGAAATTTCAACCAGATACCCGATCGAGTATATGTGATACTCGACCGAGTATAGACCAAAATCAGGATTTCCTTTTTGTCTTGTGATTTTTGCACCTTCTTTCCACTTTTGGGGTTCACCAACTATCCTTTGAGTGATGGTAGACCTGTTTGAGCTCAGAATAAACCTAATCTAAACATTTTACAAGA